ACATCCATACAACTATAAAAGTTTATAGTACAGTACTGAGACAAATATGTAGAAGTGCACTCACGTCCATGAAATCGTTGTATAGTTAAAAAAAATGTTTTTTATTTATTTGTTATTCAATTAAAAAATTGTTTATAAAAATACTATTTGCAATATTTGATTTTGTTAGTGTTTTTTAGGAATAATGAAGTAAATTATTTAGATAAGAGTTATCCAAATAAACATGGCACCGATATCAAAAATATTTATTTATAACAAAAAAACAAAAACATGTGATGAGCAATGAAGTTTTTTCGTGTTTTAAAAATATAGGATTCAAACAATCGCACAATGGTGTCAACCACATATATAAAATTGAGTTGTGTTTAACAGTCCATTTTTTTTTTCTTTATTTTATACAATTGCAAATATTTTTACTTGTTGAAGTTGTGTTATGTGTCGTAGGACACAACCATATAATTATGAGTACAAATAATAATGTATAGCAACATGCAGAAGAAAACAATATAAGCAACATTAAGATAGTCATAAGAATGACAACACATAACACAACAAATAAAGTATTTGCTTATGAAAAAACAACAACAAAAACAATAGTGAGGATAACATAAAACACAACGACGTACACGACACTAGAGGTAACAACATCAATCTTATCATACAGAGCATAAAAAACAATAACATGCAAGTAATAAACTTTTATACAATTGCGTGCATTTTTATTTGTTGAAGTTACATTATACGTAGTTATATACACAATATCATAGTTAGCAGTAGGCATAATATTGTATAACATAGTGTACTATAATATAGTTAGTAGCAGAGAATGCGATATAAATATCGCCAAGGATAACCGTGTAGATCAAATTAAAGATAATATTTACTATGAAAACGAAAACAACAAAACAATAGCAAGGAGAGTAGCAAACACAATAGTGTACACGACACCAAACACAACAACAACCATCTTAGCACATACAACAACAAAACCCGTAACATGCATTCGATAAAAATTAGAAGTACGAATAATAGCGTAGATGAAAACATATATCATGTTTGTGTATGTAGCAGTATGTGTGAGAGTGTATGTGTTGCGCCTGGATCTAATAGACAGATTGACTTCAATAAAATATTGTATATGATAAGAAAAACGGAAAAACAAACGAGGAGAATGAAAACAAAAGTTGGACGAAAGTGAATGGGCAATGACAAGGATGACTAACTTGTCACTATAATCACTAATGGTTAATAGGTGGTGTCATTTTCGATGATTTTTTCACCGAAACTACCATATTGCTATGAATTTTTGATTTTTTCTTATTCTTTTTTTTTTGTGATATCTATATGCTTTAGGATATATCTGTATTCAGTTTCAACGTATTTGGACCAGTAACAAAAAAAATTGGCAAAAACACCGAATTAGGAGAATCATTTGGCGGACTCTGAAAGCTACTCCGAATAGGGTTTTATAGTGTTTTTTATATTTTTATATTTTTATTTTTTGCCTGTTTGATTATTTGATGTTTGTACTATGACCCTGCATTGTTTGTTCACGAAATGTTTAAGGACATTGTTTGTGGTGATACGGCGAAAACCCCCGAATTTTGGGCATTCCATTAACCATCTCTCACTATAATTGACATATATTGGGTTTAAAAAAAAGACGTGGTAGGTTTTACAGTTTAGAATCTATTTTTTTTTGTAGCATAAACAATAACAGAGATAAGAAATGGTTGTTATACATGGGAGCACATAAGGGAGCATAAGTAACATGATGAGATATGTATTGGTTCATGTTGAACATATACGAGGGGGCAACAATGAATGGACAATGACAGGGATGACTAACCTTTCACTATAACTGACATATATTGGGTTTGAAAAAAAATACGTGGTAAGTTTTACAGTTTGGAATTCATTTTTGTTTGTAGCATAAACAATAACAGAGATAAGATATGGTCGTTACACATGGGAGCACATACGGGAGCATAAGTAACATGATGAGGTATGTATTTGCTGCTGTTGAAGATGTACAAGAGGGCAATAATGACTAAGATTGCAAAAAGTTGAAAGACTCAGGTAGTGGCAAAGGATGGTCTATTCACTAGTATCCAAAAAATAGATGTTTGAGGACTACATAGGGCCTCGTTCCACTACCCTCAACTTGAAAAAAACTCAAGGGCAGCCCATCATGTGCCCTTGAGCCTAAACGTAATTAAAAAATACTAGACGTCAGCTTCGTTCCACTACACCCTACAGTTCTCGCTCGCAAAAGGGGCGGGAACATGTGATGCACCGTGGTTGGGTAAAAAAAAACGGACGGGGGTACCTGGCGGCGCATGTTGGCGCCGTTTTCAAGGAAGGTCGAGGAAAAACCAGTCGGCCGTGGGAGGTGACTTGAAATTTGCCTGCGGACCCTACAGCCTCCCTTCAGTTTCGGAGCGGGAGTTTAACCAGGCGGGAACCCTAATCACTTTACAATTGTGATTAGCAAGTTGGCGTCGGTCTCAAGGGCCTAGTGGAACGGCGCCGCCCTTGAGATTTTTTCAAGTCGAGGGTAGTGGAACGGGGCCCATAGTCTTCGACCTTATACCACCAGTACTTCCTTGAGTCGAGTACGTTAACGCGCCACAATCTTAGGATACATATTGACTACTGCAGGAGCGCCTAAATTCATCCAACTAGAAACGTTTCTACTCTTTTTTTTCCAGCGGTCGATAGTTGGGCCAAGTACTTGTGGTTTATAACGAAGTTCCATAATTTAGAGGTGTGTTGGATAGAACCTGCCTGGAAGTTGCAGGGAAGATGAGGGACAGCAGGGTGACAGTTCACCTTCCTCTAATACACCATAGGCTGAGAATGTGAATGCCTTCAGATTCATCCGTGGTGGGCCACAAAGAAAGTCAGATACAGTGCTAGCATGAGACGGGGGAACAATCAAGTGCCTGCCAGCCCTTCACATTTCAAGGCAGTCTCACCCTAGCACTCTCCAGAATGTATCTAACGTCACTTATGACCCGCCATGGATGAAAAAGTTGGGCACCGAGGGGACGTGCAGAACAGCAGTTCAAGCTCGATATTATGCACCCTTGCACAAACGCGTCCAGATTCAGGCGTTCAATCCAATCCCCCTTCGCTAGTGGGACCTCGCCCCCGGTACTACCGACAGAGGCGCCTACGTTTTCACCCGCCCGGGTGCCACTACCGTCTTCATCCGCATATAACGCCCGGTTATTATGGACGTATTTGTCCAGATGCAGGGATAATTTCTGTCCAACTCTAGTGAAGATGGTAGACGGTAGTGGCACGCGGGCCCCGCCGAAAAGAGGAGAGATGGTAGTGCCTCGGCCAGTGTTGGGAAAATGGGAAAAACTGGCAGTTTTCCCAAGGTTCTAAAATATCGTTTCGGATGTGCAAAACGAGAGTGAAGACTCCGCTAGAACATGGAAAGATACACAGGAATGGTTTTTGTCTTTTGTGCATGTCGAGAGTAGTGGAGCGAGGCCCTATATCGTCCCCTTAAACCGGGATCTGCATGGTGCGCAACGTTGCGCTTTGAGGTTGGAGACAACTAGGAGAGAAGGGGGGTTTCATCATTGGAATCGCAGAAGTTGTTCTCTGGTTCGTCGAGCAGCTGCCGGCGATGGTGGAGATGGCGGCGTGCAGGAGGAGTTCTCTGAGGAAGACAAAGATTACATAGATGCCACTGTTGTGGAGGCAGATACCGGTTCCAATTGCAACAACAGCGAAATGAAAAGCAAAAGGGGACACCTCCCGCCCGTCACGGCTAGTCCATGGCGGTTTAGAGAACTACACCTCCAGGATGAAAACCAGCGGATGATGAGCGATGTACATGGCTACAAGGCACCTCCTCAGCAAATGGAAGATTGGTGAGACACATCCTTCTACTATGGAAGGAATACTCCTCTCTCAATAATGTGTATGGAAGGGGGGGGGGGGTAAACCCCTTTCATGTATGATGCCCACTTTTCCTATTTATTTGATGCCTCAATAGCTGGCTGGGTATTAGTGTTGATAGATTCAGAGGTAATATGTGAGGGGTTGAGGTAGTTCGCGGTTGATTTGCCTGCTCACTTATTAACAAATTTGCGTGATATAACGTGTTGTGCTTTTCTTATTTAGTGTTGACGTCTCGGTGTCGGGAAGGAAAAGGGACGAGATAGGGAAATGGGGGACTCAAGTGGCCCCTCCTCCTCGAATCCTCCTCCCCCTCCCCCCCCCCTCCACCGGTCAACCCTGAGGTCCCTCTGTCGGAGTCCGATAAGCAACGAATTCGGGGAATTCTCAAAACCTGTTACTCTGACGGTATCCTCCCCAAACGCTTATAGCGAAATACTGTTGAAGTGGGGGAAGATCACGTCAGAGTAATTGTTAACCCGGAGGTATATAACCTCCAGGTGGAATGGCTCAAAGAACATGCGGTCACTATTTTATTTGGAGATGAGTCAACTTCGCTCCCAGTGAATGTTAAGAAACGGCTGGTACGGGCTTATGAGGATGGATGGGCTACCAATCGTTCGATTGATGCCCCTCTAAAACGAGGCTTATTCCATAATGAATGCCGTAATCTGGTAACCTACGTCTCTTCTTCCAACCAAATTGCGACATACATGCTAAGGAAGAAACAAGAGAAAATAGTGCTTGACGGCAAAACCTATTCGATTACGTTTCGACCTTGGATGTCGGAATATGAGTTGTATGAGTGGAGGGAGGCCATGCACTTCCAGTTTTTCTGGATCAGGTGTTTACAAGTCCCAATTTCTGCCCTCCCTCAACTGGAGACAACGGTGGAAGATGCTTTTGGTCCGGTTCTGAAGTCTCACCAGGCGTTCAAGGAACCAGGTAGGCCGGAACTGATAAATATTCGGTTTGACTTGGTTTTGTCAGCACGAATTAGGTATAAACCAAGCCTGGTGCTTCAATATCAGAACGATGATTATGTAGAAATCGAGGTAACCTGTGCCGATACCCCGTGGTGTGAAGATTGCAGAAGATATTTTCACAATTCAAAGGACTGCCCTGCAAAATGCCAAACTGACCTACCAGCGGTCAATGAAAAATCGAAGAAAAGGAAAGCTTCAGAAGGGCAGGAAACCACAAGGGGATCTGCCGCAGAAGGAGAAAGAGAAGGGGAGGGTTCTGGACAGGGAAGTCAGAAACAAACCACCACACCCAAATCCCTCTCATGAACAGGAGAGGGGAAGGGTTACAGTGGTTTGGAAGAAGAAGAACCCTAACCCTGTTGCAGGAAGCGATGGACCTCATAATGGGCTGAACTCCGAAGGAAAGGATAAGAACAAGGGTGCGGAACACACTGAGAAAGCAGAATTGGACAAACGGGAGAAGGCACCCCGAGGAGATCACCCACAGGAAAAGGGGGATAAAGACGTAGAAATGATTAGTGACGATGAGAATGGCAATGGAAGGAAGGAAGGGGGGACAGAAGAAGAGACGAAGGATGAGAAAGGAAACGAAGACGTTGAGGGAAGGGAAGATCTAGTGGAAGAAGATGGGAAGAGTAAGAAACAGGAAGAGGAAGACATGGAAGTTAGGATGAGGAGGACGAAGAATCGGAGGAAGAAGAGGAAGAAGAAGAGGAAGAAGAGGAGGAAGAGGAAGAAGAGGAAGAAGAAGAGCTATCTAAGGACGAGGAAGACGAAGAGAAAGAAGACGGAAGTGGAGAGGAAGAAAACAGGGAGGAAAGGGAAGTAGAGAAGGAGGATGAAAAGGATGGAGAAGAAGTAGGGGAGGAGGGTGGGGAGGAAAAGGGTACTCGGGACGATGAAGGGGAGGAAGGAGTGGAAACTGGTAATGATTCAGAGAAGGGGGGTGAGGAAGGAAAGAAGGAAGAAGAGGGGGAGGGGGCACACGTAAGGAAGACGGGGGGGAGTTCGGAGAAGGGAAAAAACGGAAGAGAGGCGATAGGGGAGGAAGTTCAAAAAGATCACGAGAAGGAACTCAGAGCGGATGAGGCTGGGCTTGTGGAGGAAAGATTGGATGAAAACTCATCCCCTCCCACGAGCCCAAAGCTCCAGCCCCAGGGAAATTTCATGGTCTATAACAACAACGCCTTTATTCTGGAAGAAAGAGACCAACAAGACAGACCCAGACTGGAAATGGATAAAGATGCTCAGGGAGATTCATGGAAACTAACTGACATCTTTCCCTTCCAGAAATTGGGCAACCAACAACTCCTGGGTGATCTAGGATTGGTCCAGGGGAATGACTTCTCTCCAGCAAAAAAAACGAAACGAAATGATGCTACAGCTGGCAGAGCGATGGGAGAAGAGACAAGTAGCCCTCCAAGGGAATCGCGATTCGAAAAGGATAAAGAAGGGCGAAAGAGACTGAGGACTGCAACTCAAGCAAAAAGGGAATTATCTTTAGCAGGTCCAATGAGAACGATCTCAAAAACAGAAAAAACAAAGGGGCCAATCAAACAATTCCTGATCCCACTGATTTTTTCTGAATCAGCAGTTGGCCCGGTGCTATTGACAAGGATTACACCCGAGGATGGACTGGATATTCCGGCTATCCCAGTAACTGCCCCCCCCTCAGATGAGGAGGCAGTGGAGTTAACCAAGAGGCATGTGTTGAACCATACAGGCTCGGTTGTGGTGCTTCCGTCTTTCAAAATGAACAGATATCTTTCACAGAAGCACCCACTACCCCCGGGGGTTTTCCATATGGCCCCCATGGGTATTCGTACCATCTGCGACTCTTTTGAAAAGTGGTGCGAACTCAGGCTTCATTGAAACCCTCTCCGTGACTTTCTTACCGGTAATACAGACTCAATAGAAAAACTCCAAATGTCGGTTGAAAGATCAGGTGTAGCCCTATGGGATTGGCTGCGATACACGAATGGGATAGAAAAACTCTCAGGGGTTTGTCTAATCCAAAATCTCAAGATGGTTAGCCACCTAGGGAAAGACACAGCGGAAACAAAAAAATCCGTGGTGCAATTCCAAGTCCCTAGCCGGATCCAAACTACCGGCAGGATCTCTTCTGATGGTACTACCGCCTAAACTGCGGTTGGCATCATGGAATGTCCGCGGTTTAGGCGATACATCACATAGACATAAACGATCAAGACTTCGGTCATGGATTCACTCAACTAATGTACACATCTTGGGTATCCAGGAAACCAAACTAAATAACGGTAAACTTCATAAGTTGGGGTCCTATTGGGATGGCCCCCAAGTCTGGTCCCCTGCGGAGGGGACAAGAGGAGGGGTGACAATCCTAATTAATAAGGACCTAGAGGCGAAAATTCTCGATTCATATGCAGATTCTGGAGGAAGAATAGCGTGGATTAAATTGCTGACAGGAGAGGAAGAATGGGGAATTGCTTCAGTATATGCCCTCGCAGAATTAATAGACAGAACGGATTTCCTAACTAATCTACCGGCTTTCCTCCCCGACACAGAGAACCTGGTGATATTAGGAGACCTCAACACAATACTTATTCCAGGTTTAGACTCATTGTCAGTTTTTCCGCCTAGGCAAGATGCAGAACTTTTAACCACCCTGTTGGATGCCTACTCTCTAACAGATGTTTTTTGCACCTTAAACTCGAACTTAAATGGGTTTTCATGGTTTGGACCCAAACCAACAGATAACACACCAGCCCTAAGAAGTAGGCTTGATTTTATTCTAGCGAGGGGCTCACCGTGGAATACCTGTTTCTGGTGTGATGTGCTGATAGGCTCGGAATCTCTCTCAGACCATCATCCAGTACTAATGGACGTTGTCTCTGCAGAAGTGATACAGAGGGAGAGACCGTCATTCAGACTGAATGTTAATATGCTGAAAGATGAGGGAATAAAGAGATGGGTGACGGACCAAATGATACTATGGAATACTACGAAGGATCTGTTTGAAAACCTGTTGGAATGGGCAGAAGTAGGAATTAACATCATTAAAGTTGCTTTGACTAATTTCTCTATGATGAAATCGGCAAATAGGACGTGGCATGAAGTACGACTTCAAAAGGAAATAGAGCAGGCAGAAAGGCTGATGGGGTCTGATCCGTTCTCAGACTACTATTGGACTGAAAAAAGGAAAGCAGCCTTGCTAGAGTTAGAAGAGCTATAAGTTAAAAAACAGACCGAATGGATGGACTGACTAAAGATTCGAGGAATTATAGGGTATGATAGAATGACCAAGCTGTCATTCAGATCACTAATCCTGCAACAAGCCAAACCGCTGATCAGGGAACTTCGCCACCCATTTACAATAGGGCAGACTCCAGTTTCAGATATGGACACAATGTGCTCAAACGCCTACGAGTACTTCAAGGACATAGTTTCCACCAGACGACCTTTCGATACTCTGGACACCGATCTATCAGATGTTAGCACCTTTTGGGACAGGACTGTAATCCAGGTCCCGCGTGCTGCGGCCCTGGCATTGGACGAGCCATTTACAGTTGAAGAATTGGGCAAAGAGGTAAAGCAAATGGCTTTGGGTAAGTGTCCAGGCCTCGATGGACTTCCGGTGGAACTCTATTTGGCCTGTTGGCCTGCCTTTGGGCCTTTCCTGTGTGACATATTCAATCATGTGAGACTGACTGGTAGACTGCCGGAGAACTTTTTGAAGGGTGTTATATCACTTATACATAAAAAAGGGGACAAGGCTGAGGTAAAGAACTATAGGCCAATATCGGTGTTAAATGTAACATATAAAATATTGGCCAAGACATACGCAAGTAGACTTGCAGAGATACCCCCCCTCTTTAATTGGACAAGAACAGGGGGCTTTTGTGAAGGGAAGGTCAATATTTGAAAACATAATGACCACCCTTCAGGCCCTTTAAATCATATCTAAAGAGAGGAGGGATGTGGCAGTCCTCCTTCTCGACATGGAAAAGGCGTACGATAAGGTGGGTTGGACTTTTGTCCTGACCACCTTATCGAAAATGGGCTTTGGCCCTGAATTTCTCAACAACGTCAAAGCAATGTATTCACAGGCGAGATCAGCGGTAATCATTAACGGTCGCTTGTCAGAAGATTTTCAGCTGACTCGATCTCTACGTCAGGGCTGCCCCCTGGCCCCATTATTATTTGTACTTCAATTAGAAACCCTACTCGATAACATTCGCCACAACCCGAAAATCAATGGATTAAAAATCGCCCCATCCATTCATTGGAAGGGGGGAGCGCTTGCCGATGACCTAACAATTGCTTGTGAAAATTCAGTTGTGGCCTTTACAGAGCTTAAGGCCGTATTAGATGAGTACTGCCAGCTATTAGAGACATCAATTAACTGGGATAAGTCCACATACTTTTTACCCCCCTCGTTTGAGATCTGTGTTCAATGGGGTCTGAAACAGGTATCGGAAGGAGCTTCAGAACGATTCCTGGGAGTACAAGTGTCACTGACAGATTGCTCTGCAGAACAAGACAGACTACTCCAGGAGAAGGTATGTGCCAAGATTATGGGGTGGATCATGAACCACAAGCTCTCACTCTTTGGGAGGGCTTTGGTGTTATCAGCGGCTGCTTTCTCTCTCATGTGGTTCCCTTTGACAGTACACTGGTTGGGTGATGGGGCCTATACAGCAATAAAGAACGTGGCATCAAGATATACATGGAAACCTGCGGCCACGGAAGACCAAGGTTTTATAGTGAGAGTGGCATGGGACACTATCACCTTCCCCAGAACTGAAGGGGGACTGGGAATTTTAGACCCAAGAGACCAAAATATTGCCTTATTGGGGAAATGGGTGATCAAGGCACTGATGGAGAATAATTAACAGAAGATTTGGATCAAGATGGCAGAGTACATTTTTAAGAGGGACTGAGAACTTAGTGAAGGAGAGCAGGTTTGGACATGCCTGGTGCAAATAGACATGGGGGGGAGAAGAAGAGTTAAATCTAAAGTTTGGACTGCGATTCTCAGGGCATGGAAGACGATTAGACCGATACCGCTGAAGGATCCCTCCTCTAAGCTGGAGGTAGCTAACCAAGCTCTTTTTGATAACGAATTAATTAAGTCTGTGGCAGACACCCCCTTTTATACAAGTGAAAAGGGAGGGAGCTTTGCCAAGTCCTGGATAGAAAAGGGAATTGTACAGGTTAAACATCTATGGGATGAAGATAATCAATCCTGGATTACTTATGAAGATATCAGAAAGAGACTTCCTCGACTACGGGCAGTTCAGGAGAATTTGACCGGAATATTGGAGGCTATCCCCAGACAGTGGAAGGGCTTACTGAAACAGGACTCATAACAGGGGCAAGGTACTTGGCTTGTGGACCCTACAGCCCCAAGAGTGGAGGAGGTACTGAGGGTGTTAGGCCCTGACATCCAACAAGGAATGAGGGTTGAATCTTGGAGGGTAGGACGTGAAGGTATAAAAGGGAGATAAATATCTTTTGTGAAAGAGAAGACCATATCAACGACAAGGCAACTTACAGAAGTAAGAGCCTGGGTAAACGGCAGCAAGGACAAACACCGAGGCATCTTATTGAGGGGAGAAGCTGAGTCCTTTAAAGTTGATCCAACCTTCTATGGATGGAAATCCAGAGAGGGAAAACAAACCCCCATGCTTTTCTATGAGACCAGGACGGGGGCAGAAGTACGCCGCCTGAAGAGAGAGAGACCAGAGGACGTGGCGATACGCAGACTTCATAAGCTTCGAGGGACAACAGAGAGAGCTCCGGACTTTCCTCAAC